TGTTACTTTTCTAATTTCTTAGATGAATATCTAGTTCCTTCATTTTTCATGTTGCTTCTTTAACAGTGCACACATTTATTCTTTTTGTTCATTTATACAGTTTGTAATTTTCCCTCCTTTCCCTTTAATTTCCCTTTTGTTCTGTGTGTGTGAGGAAGATTAGCCCTGAGCTAACACCTATGGCCAATCCTCCTCTTTTCTGCTGAGGAAGATTGGTCCTGGGGTAACATCCATGCCCATCTTCCCCTACTTTATGTGGGACACCTGCCATAGCGCGGCTTGATGAGTGGTAGGTAGGTCTATGCCTGGGATCCGAACCTGCAGCTGCAAACCCCAGGCCTCCAGAAGCAGAGTGCGCGAACTTAACCACTACACCACCGGGCTGGCCCCTAATTTCCCTTTTTTTTTTTTTTTTTAATATTTATTTATTTATTTATTGTGTTTGTGTGTGTGCATGTGTGTGCAAGCGAGGAAGATCAGCCCTGAGCTAACATCCATGCCAATCCTCCTCTTTTTGCTGAGGGAAGACTGGCCCTGAGCTAACATCTGTGCCAATCTTCCTCCACTCTATATGGGACGCCGCCACAGCATGGGCTGACAAGAGGTGTGTCAGTGCGCGCCTGGGATCCGAACCCCGGGCCACCAGCAGCGGAGCCGTGCACTTAACCGCTATGCCACGGGGCCGGCTCCACCTAATTTCCCTTTTAAATCCACTTTGATCCAAGTGTTGTCTCAGAATATGTTTCTTCTAAGTAGTTACAGGATTTTTTGGGAGGTCGAGGGATCCTCTTTTTATTATTTCTTCCTAATTGTATTGACATGATTGAGAAAATATGGCCTGTAAAATTCTTGCTTTTTAAAATTTGTTAAGTTTTTCTTTGGTGACAAGTACTTCATTAATTTTGTAAATGTTCCATGGACCTAAAATGTCTATGCTCTATTTTCAAAGTTTATTAAATAGAGTTTACTGATTGCATTACTCAATTCTTCCGTGTCCTCGTTAACATTTTTTCTATCATATCTCTCAAATCCTGAGATGTATTGATGTCTTGCACTATGACTACATTTTTATCCGTTTGTCCTTGAATTTCTAATTTACCTTTGTTGTTTTATGCATTCAGGCTCATAATTGTTATATCTTCTTCATGGATCCTACCTTTTTAAAGTCATCTGGCAATCTCTGACTTTTAATAGAATTTATCTGCTTAAATTTATTATAATAATTGATATGCTTTATTTTATTCTTCCACTTTATTAGTATACTTTTTGTTTTCTCTTTTCCTTTTATTTCCTTGGCTGGCTTTATTAAGTGGTTATCATTTCCATTTTTCCCCCATTAATTTGGAAGTTCTCTTGTCCATTTCACGACTTTGTAATCATTTCTACATGAATGTACTACATTAGTACATTTCTACTAAATATAATCTATTTCCCCATACGATCCCCCCTCCCTTGGATGTTTTCCCCACGAAGGCATTCACCAATAAGATAAGATCTTTAGGGGCCGGCCCCGTGGCTTAGTGGTTGGGTGAGCGCGCTCCACTGCTGGCGACCCGGGTTCGGATCCCGGGCTCACACCGACGCGCTGCTTCTCTGGCCATGCTGAGGCCGCGTCCCACATACAGCAACTAGAAGGATGTGCAGCTATGACACACAACTATCTACTGGGGCTTTGGGGGGAAAAAAATAAATAAATAAAATCTTTAAAAAAAAAAAAAAGATAAGATCTTTAGCACCTTCAACTCTTAGTTTTTCAAAGATAGCTTAGCACATTTAGTGCTTGATTATTATTTAGAATTCCCCTCAAAATAATTTCTTACATTTTAAAAGTTCTTATTTAGCACTTACATTACACACTCCCATCTATCCTTATCTGTTCAGATTTTTTTTTCATCCAATCAGTTTAATTCTATATATTTTGCAAAGTTTGTTGTTTACAACTGTTTCCTCTCCATCTGTCTGTTCTAGGACATTTGTTATTTGGTTAGAGCCTTTACTCAAGTATTGGCAGACAGATATCTGAGTGATGTGCCTCTGAATTCTTACATATCCTCAAATATATTTTTTTGCCCTGACAAATGCAAAGGTGTAAGATTATTGGGTTGCCGTCTTTTTCTTCTAGTCAATAGATGCTAGCTTACTCTCTTCTAGCTTCCAGATTGCAGATAGAAACGACGCCATTTTGATTTAACTTTTGTAGATAACTTATTCTTTCCACCTGGAAATTTGTAGAACTAGGAATTTTACAAAATATAGATGTGTGTTTTTTTCTCATCAACCTGTCTTTTAACTTAGTGAACCATTTCAATTCATGGAATCTGATCCAGTTTAGAAAACTTTTATTCTATTACTTCTTTAACTATTGAGTCCTCTTCATCCATCCCTCTTCCTCCTTCTAAAACTCCTATTATTTTCATGGCAGGGTCCCCTGAATTTATTCTCTAGGTCTTCTAAGCCTTAATCTCAGGTCTTCTAACCTTAATCTTCTAAGCCACTAATTCAGGTCTCAACAATGAACATCTCCTTCAAAGCATCTACTGAATTGTTTAATTGGGAAATCTTTTTTTTTTTTTTAATTTTAGAAATATTTTTGTAGTACTCTTGAATCTTCTCAACTGCGTTTATTTTTTTATTTAAGTTTTCATCTGTTTCCTCCAGTTGCTCTACTTTGCTGGGCATATATTCCATTTCTTCTGACAGATCTTGACTCTGGCTGCTGGCTCCCATTAGATAAGTTATTTTCTGATTGTTGGAATACCCTAAATTACTACAGCATGCCTACAGATGGTGAAAGGGGAAGTGGTGTCAACCTTTGTAGGCTGGGGGTATATAAGGTGGCCCTGGGGACTCCCTGCTCTTTTGACTCCCTGTACTTGCCCATTCTCAGGAGCAGCGAGGGCTCAGCCCACTCATTAAGCTCCAGCTGAGCCTCCTGTGGGCTAGAGACCTGGTATACTCCCATGAGATATTCACCTTCTTACAAATCTCTACAAGTCAAGCTTTTTCCCGGGGCCCATTGTTTTCCATTCCTTGTCTAGAAACTCTGATATTGTTCTTCAGCTTACCTAGACCAAAGGGGTGAGGGTAGGGGAGAAGATGCCCTCTGGAGAATCCTCAGAGGAGATGCATAAACAGGGCCCTGAATGAGTAGGTTTCCTCTAGAAAGGAGAGAGAGAATATGACCTTAAGTGCCAGGCTACTGAGTTTGGATCTTATTCTTTAATTACCAGGGAGCTAGCAGCAGAGGTTTCCTGCCCTCCTAGGACATGGTCCCTCTAAGACACTAGAGTCTACCCACAAAAGTAGCAACAAATACCCACCACACAGATTCCAGAAAAGGCCTCACCTGGACCTTCTCTCCGAATACACTGTTGGCTTCTTCTGTCCCTTTCCTTGCAATGATGGCTTTGCTATAGATGGCAAGAAGCGGGACAGTGGCTGACAGGCATTTTTGTAAAACAGAAGGCCTTATAAAAATATATAATTAAGGTAACCTTCTTGCAAGAGGTGTACTCAGCAGAGGGAAGTAAATAAAGAGAGAAAGGGGGTTTTATAATTGATAGGAGAGACTGTTTTATGCAAGGCAGCCTGCTATATAGTAGAAAGGGCCCTGGAACAAGACCCAGGAGACATGAGTTTGATTTCTGGCTCTGACATTCACCAGCTATGTGCCCCTTGAAATCAAATTAATCTTTGTATATCTCAGTCCCTTTTTAGTAAAGTGTTACAGAGACCAAATAAGAGAATGCATGTGAAGAGGTAATAAATTATAAGGCACTGCAAAAAGATGTTATCTATCTTGTTTTTGTACAGGTGCACATATATGTGTATTCTTCTAACCCACTGTTTTTTAACCGGGGGCAATTTTGCTTCCCAGGTGATATCTGGCAACATTTGGAGACATTTTTTATTGTCATCAGTGGATGGGGGGGTTATTGGTATCTACTGGGTGGAGACTAGGGATGCTGCCAAACATCCCACAGTCTTTAAACATCCTGCAGACAGTAGGGCAGTCTTTCACAACAAAGAAGGATCTATTCCAAAGCATCAAGAGTGCCAAAGTTCGGAAACCCTGATGTAGCCTTTTAACCAGTCAAAATTGCCTCAATGGGCAGCATCTTCCAGCGGCCTCTCTCTCATCCCCAGGTATGTCAAGCGACAAGGATCCCAAGACTGCTTTTCACCTTCTCTCTTCTAGTAATGCTCCTCTCTTTTCTCTCAGCAGCACCCTGCCTGCCCCCGCTACGCGAGATGCCTGCCCACAGGAAGGGCAGGATGCAAAACCTGCGCATAAATGGGCTAAAAGGCTGGCCCGACTGGGCAACCGGCGGATGGCCCGACTGGGCAACGGGCGGATCGCCCGCCAAGAGTCCGGGTCTAGTTTCTTAGAGAGAGGGAAGTTTTCTCTTCTCAGAGTGAGAGGTGGAACCGCGTTTCAAGCCAAACCGAAAGAAAGAGTAGTTTCTAGAGGCTCAAAGGAAAAGAAAATCTGATTTGCTGTCAGTAGCTTTAGAGGGGGAGGAGGAGAGAGAAGAGGGGGAGGGTTGGCTCTGGTCGGCCCCACCCCCTGGGCTGCTCAGAGTACAGCCGGCCGCTGCTGTCGCGGCCCAAGCAGTCCCAGGACTCCGCAGTTCTGCTCCAAGGACCCGCAAGGAGCGCAGGACCGCGCCAGGACCTGGAGCAGCGGAAAGGCCTGGCCGAGCGAGTAACTCACACGTACGCCGGCGAACAGGGCCAGGTGGGGGATCCCAACTCAGAGGGAGTGTAATTTGCCTCATGCTCTTCAGTGTTTTCCTGCTCCGCTGCATCCAAGCCCACTTCACGCTGTCCCAATCTGTGTCCTCCTTGTGGGGTCTGTCTGGAAGCTGCAGGGACGTCGGAGGAACAAGCGCGGGGGCGGGGGCAGGGGCAAGGTGGGGGGGCCAGACTTCCCGCAGACCGACCAAGGCCGCTGGCCGGCAGGGGGCGCTGCGCTCCTCAAAGAACCTCACCCTTCCTCCCCTTCTCTACCCTGTGTCTTCAGAGAACATGTTAGCTGTGCACTTTGACAAGCCAGGAGGACCAGAAAACCTCTACGTGAAGGAGGTGGACAAGCCGAGCCCAGGAGAGGGTGAAGTCCTCCTGAAGGTGGCGGCCAGCGCCCTGAACAGGGCGGACTTACTCCAGGTACCCAGGGGGTCAAGCAGTGGCTGGGACAGGGCAGGACTCCAGGGCCTTCGATAAACATTCACCAGACAGATGAAGGAATGACCTGGGACACTGCCAGTAACACTCATCATGAAGTGTGTGCAGAGTGTGTCCTGGGGGTTCTAAGGCAGAACCATTTAGCCTCCTGTTTACACAAAATACAGGGGTATTTGCAAAGCAGAATCCACCCTGTGTTAATCCATGGTCTGCTCAGACTTCCAGATAAGAAGGGAACTACCATTTGTTGAGGGAGTGTGTGTGTTAGGCCTTGCTGTATCTCATTTACTCCTCAGGCAACCTTGTTCATCATTGTTATTCTACAGATAAAGAGACTGAGGGTCAGAGAGGTTAAGCAATACCCCAAGGCCACAATACTAGTAATAGGGGGAGCTATGACTCAAATTGAGGTCTTAGTGGCTCCAAAGTTTGCACTGTTTCCACTCTGAGGTCCCAGAGCTGGCAGGGGGAAGTACTCTAACAATTTTCTTCTGTCTGCTACTTGGTGCGCTAAACTGGGCCAGCTGCATTGGTGGGGTAATTGAGAAATGTGCACCAGAATCACCTGGGGTACTTTTTCAAAATAAGCATGACCAGGACTCAGGCGTGTGCACACTGAAAAAGCTCCTGAAGTGTTCTGATGCACAATCCCTAGTTCAGTCCCTCTGGCCTAAAGCCTCTGGTCAGAGCTTCTGAGGACTGGGATGAGTGAGTACAGAGCCTGGCACTTGATATATGAGAACTACCATTAAGGAGTGAACAGTTTTGTTCCCAGTCCTGCTACTAATTTACTTTGAGACCTTGGACAAGGCATTTCTCTGCCCAGGTCTCAGTTTCTCCATTTGTAAAACAAGAAGTTTATATGAACTAAATAGGTAAGAACTCTACCAATTATGACATCTACTGATTATGTGACCTACAGTCTCTTATTTGCATAAAACAAATTACCTCTCCTCTCTCTTTTCCTTATAAAACTTGACTTTATCCTGAATTTTCTGTCTGATAAAAAGAGGGCCAGGAATGGTGACACACAGATTTCTGATCATGATCACCACTGACTGCACCCCTCTCTCTGCAGAGACAAGGCCAGTATGACCCACCCCCAGGAGCCAGCAGCATTTTGGGACTTGAAGCATCTGGACACGTGGCAGAGCTGGGGCCTGGCTGCCAGGGGCACTGGAAGATCGGGGACCCAGCCATGGTTCTGCTGCCCGGCGGGGGCCAGGCTCAATATGTCACTGTCCCTGAAGGGCTCCTCATGCCCATCCCAGCAGGACTGACCCTGCCCCAGGCTGCAGCCATCCCAGAGGCCTGGCTCACTGCCTTCCAGCTGTTACATCTCATAGGTGAGGAGGCCCCCCCCACGCTCACTCCATACAGTGTGGCTCAGTTCCTTCATGACTCAGCCACCTCAAAATCCAGCAGTTGTCCAGGGCAATTTTGGCCTGGCCACCAAGCCACACCCAGACCCAGCACCTTACCCTACTATATATATACCACCAGTAGTATCAGGTCCTCATACCATGTTAGCAATGGCTTGATGTTGAGGTGAAAATCATGCTTAGCAGATAGAAGGCCTGGAAAGCACTAGATTGAAGGCCTGTACACATCATCACAGTGTAGGCCCAGCAGTAGTCCCAGCTTCTCAAAGTCATGGTGAGCTTCTCTCTGGGAGCCCTAGTGCAGCAGAAAGGGGCCATTCAATCAACTCTTTTATTCTTCCCCAATCCCACTGAGGCCAGCCAAGAGCTCACATGAGGAGCCTAAGAAGACTTGGTCCCTGCCTTTAGGGAGCTCAGTGTAATTGAGAAGACAACACATACTCAAGAATTAGACAACCATAGAGTTCGTAAGGGTGGCCCTGTCTCTGACTACAATAGAAGCTCAAGATGGGAAAATTTGGTGTGGGCAAGGGTGGTCAGAGAAGGCTTTCTGGAAGAGAAGGTAGGTGGAGTTGTGATGGAGAGAAGGCAGGCCAAAGTGGCCTAAGAAAGAGTGTCAAAGTGAGATCAGCTACTCCACTCAGAAGTGAAGGATGACAATTATCGTTTATGAAAGATGAGGCTGGGACTAGATTGTGGTGGCCTTGAATGGCAAGCTGTCTGGACTTGATGCAAAAGCCAGTTGAAAATCACTTTACATTTTGAGGAGAAAGTGACATAATGAAAGCTCCATTTTAGGAGGAGGAGCCTGGTGGCTGTGCATGGTACCTGGATGAGTGAGACTAGCTAGAGGCCAGTGTCAGACTGAAGAGGGACTGGTTCCAGGTGGTGACAGTGGGAATGAAGGTTATTCTTACTTATCTGGGTATAGGTCAGAGATGTGTGGTTTGGTATTATTTCATAGGTAAACCAGAGATTATGGATGTGTCTGCTAATAAGTGTTTCAAAAGGTTATTTCCCACTTTGACCAGAAGCAGTAAGACAAAAAAAGAACTGTCAATACATTCTCTTAAGAGCAAGAGATTTGGCATTTGGTGGTCCCAGGGCCAGGTGATCATGGTAGAATATGCCTGTGTGGAGAACATGTAGCAGTTGCAAAGTAAAGAGAATGGTTCCTGTACTTTCTGTCACAGGAAACATTCAGGCTGGAGAATCTGTGCTAATCCACGCAGGAGCAAGTGGTGTGGGCACAGCTGCCATCCAGCTCACCCGGATGGCAGGAGCTACTCCTCTAGTCACAGCTGGCTCCCAGCACAAGCTTCAAATAGCAGAAAAGCTTGGAGCAGCTGCTGGATTCAATTACAAAGAAGAGGATTTTTCTGAAGCGACACTGAAATTCACCAAAGGTAAACAACAGTTTCTGCAGCTCAGCAGAAATTTCAGAGATGATTAAATAAAATTCTCACCAGCCTCAAGGTTGCCAGTGCTCTGGATCTGTCTTGCCTCTGCTAAATGCACAACAGCTGCTCTGGCCAAATTCTAGTACTCTGGTGTTTGACCACTGGAGACAGGCAGGCAGTATTTAGGACTAAAATGGTTTCTGTGGGCATTCTTGTAAGTAATATTATTTATACACATCTTAGAAACTAGATAATCACACAGAGTTGGCTTGGAATTACCCAGCACCTCTTCTTCCCAACCAGCCACTCTACCGTGAATTAACAGGAGGCGTGGGGCAGACACCAACTGGGAGCTGGTCACAGTAGGGTTGGGGTGGTAGCTCCCTAAATGAGTGAGTAGATGTGCATGCTTCTGTATTCAAAAGCCAAATCTGTATATTTGTGGCTCATCCCTTTCCATTTTTCCACATAAGTCGAAAAAGAGAGATGAAACCAAAGCTAGCAAAGCTACGATTCAGACAACCCAGTGCAGACACTTCATAACTTAGATGTGAACAACTAGCCTGCCCTGTAGCTTAGAGGGATCTCCCCTGTTTTGTTCTCACTCATGCCTGGGTGCCAGTGGGGTCTCTACTTATGTGGGGGTCAGGGGAAATACCAGATCTTGGTGTTGCCCCATTTCCCTCTTGCTGTGGCTAGGGATCATAAAAGATGAACCAGAGCACACATGGATGATAAGAGTTCAGCTCCCTAAACTCTATTTACAACAATGTTTCTATGAGCAATGTTTCTAATTCCCACCTATAGATTTACCACTTGCACTTGTATTTATTTATACCCATACATCCACAAATATACCATAGAATCTTATTTTGCACCAAGCTTTCTGTGTCTGACTAGCATTACAAATCTGTGTTTCATGTGTAAGGCGCTGGAGTCAACCTTATTCTAGACTGCATAGGTGGATCCTACTGGGAGAAAAATGTCAAGTGCCTGGCTCTTGATGGTCGCTGGGTTCTCTATGGTCTGATGGGAGGAGCTGACATCAGTGGGCCTCTCTTTTCAAAGCTGCTTGCTAAACGAGGAAGTCTGATCACCAGTCTGCTGAGATCTAGGGACAAAAAGGTGAGTGATGAGTGAAAAAAAACATGTGATTTAACTATTATCCAGGAAAGTGTGATTCATTTATATAACCCAGAGAAAGGATGATCTGTCACATCTTAAGTTAGGGAGCTATGTAGAAACCTGCCCCCTTCTGGATAAATGGGTAACCCATTTTCACAGAACTAATTAAAATTGGTCAATAGAAGCCTCAACATCTTGGAAAGAGGGTAGCTAATACTTCATATATTACTTAAACTTTCTAACAGAATGAACAAAGCATTGACCACATTAGGAAGTATTTCTAATAGTTCCAAGACTTTGTTTTCAAAGGCAGAACTCCTCTCAGTGTGCTAAGCAACCCTCTTAGGTAAGTAAGGTTAGTAAGCCTCTACCTTCAGCAGATATGTTCCTGAAATTGCTGTATGGCATTCTAGCAGGCACCAGCTTTGGGAGTGTTTCCCAAAATAGGATTTCACACCTGCTGGGGGATAGCAGAGCTTAAGCATCCCTTTTGAACTAAGCCTATGTAAGTCCTGTCTGTGGCTCCTCCTGCTTGAAGCCTTTACTTAAACAGCCTTCAGCTGTCATTGCCACTATTTTACTGTAGGCTTCAGTCTGGTCCGGAACAGAGGTTACACAAGTGGAGACATGCACACACGTGCTGATAGTGAAGTGGTTAGTCCCCTGTGTGCTTTTCAGATGTGTACACGTTTCAGAGCACAAAGGCTAAGCAGGATGGGGAAGGCCTCTGTCCAGGCTGATGGTCTCCTTTTCCTTATCTCAGTACAAGCAAACGCTGGTGAAGGCTTTCACAGAACAAATTCTGCCCCACTTCTCCACCGAGGGCCCCCAACGTCTGCTGCCGGTTCTGGACAGAATCTGCCCCGTGACTGAAATCCAAGAAGCCCATGTGTACATGGAGACTAACAAGAACGTGGGCAAAATCGTCCTGGAGCTGCCCCACTGAAGGAGGAGGGGGCACGGACAGCACAGGACACGGCTATCTCAAGCCTTCCCAGAGCAAACTTGGAGATTCACCGTACGCAGGCAAGAGACCGGGTGTTACTCCGGGCCCGCGTGTAACCCACCGGTCCTCCCCCGGCCTTGTCACGTGAGCCGTGTATAGCCGGTCTAAGGAAATAAAGAGAATGGATTTGACAGGCGGCCGGCTCACTATGGACGGCCCCAGCGCGCGGACTGAGGCCGCCGGGGCGGGGGTGAGGTGGGCGTCGGGGCGGGCGTCGCCGCGGGGTTTACAGGAGAGGCCCGATCAGCTGATGCTCCACTTCAGGGGCTGCGCCAGGGCCGGGCGCTCCGGGCATGGGTACAGCGTCGGCCGCCAAACAACCAGTCGGGACCCTGTAGGCTCCGCTTTGCGCGCTGCCAGAGCCCTGGCCACCCACGCGTCCTCCAGACGCGCCGCAGCCCCGGAGCCCACGCCAGGCCCTGCCCTCTCCCGCAACTCACCTGGGGTAGCCACACCTCGCCGCGCTCTCCTCAGGCCCCGCCCCCTCCAGCCAGCTTCCTGTGCTCAGGGCCGCCCGGCCGGAACACCTCCCCTTCGTGAGCCCAGGCCCCGCCCCTTCCGGCCCAGAGGTCGGAAGCGTCTTAGATCCTCGACTTTCAACCTTCCGGCCGCATCTTTATCTCAGGATCGTTCTGCCCCGGAGTCTTTTCGAAAAGGGATATACGTCAGCACGTCTCGGCGTGAAACGGCGACGTTCCGGCGTGTTAGAAAGCTTCCGGCGGAGCCTGGATGTTGATGTCCCGGGTCTGAGGCCGTGTTGCGCTCGAAGCTGAGCGAGCTCCGGAGGTGTCGGAGGAATTCCAGTGTTTGCTGCGGTAACCTCATCAGCCCGCCAAGATGGCGATGCAAGCGGCCAAGAGGGCGAACGTGAGTATCGGGGCCTCTGCCGAGGACGGGGAGGACTTCGCTGCTGGACTTGCTCAGGGGCGTGGACCTACGCGTTCTCGCCCCTCCTCGGTTCCCAGGGCGGAGAAGCCCAGCATTTACTATCTTGTCACAGGGGATTCCGTCCTGGCCCATCCTTACCGATATGCTCGTTGAGCCACCTTTCCGCCCCTACCCCTTTTGAGAGTTCCTTCAGTCTCTTATCCTAGTGTCAGTGATGGTAGTAGCCCGAGCTTTTGTTGCTTGACCTGCACCTAGGACCTGGCGTCAGAATCTTCTCCGAGGTCCAAAAGTCAATAGCATAGATGAGTCCCCAGTAAATAACTTAATAGTTCACAGGCAACTGGAGCCTGGGATTCTCCTCAGGTCATGGAGCTTTTGGGATTCTTCATTAATGTTTTAGTTCAACGTAGTTTTGAGCACCTTCCATGTACCAGACTTGGGAGATAGGAAACAATTCATCAGTTAATTTTATTGAACACCTATTATATGCCAGACGCTAGTCTCCGTTTTGGGGATACAGCCGTGAATAAAACAAAAAGCCTTTTGCATAAGATTTTAATGATGGAGTGGGGTATTATGGAAACCTAAAAGAAAGTGTCTCAAGAAAGAGAGAGTGGTCAGCTGTAGGATGCTGAGAGGTATAGCATGATGGAGACAGATAATTAGACATGGCGAGATGGAGAATTTTGGTAACCTTGATGATGATCATTTCAGTGGATGAAAACTTGGTTGCAGTGAGATGAAAAGAGTGTGGAAGTTGAGAAAATGGAGACAGCTCTTTCCACAAGTTTTCGTGTAAATAGGGAAGTAGAGAAATTGGATGATAGTTGACTTTTATCTTTTTTAAGATGTGTGATTTGGTGTTTTTGTGTGAAAGAGTATGTGTATTTGTATGCCAGTGGGAATGATCCAGGTGAGTGGAGAAACTGATGATGTAGGACAAAGATGGGTAAAACTCAGAAGTGAATGTTTTGAGTAGGTGAAGGTTGCCATAGTCATGAGAGGGAAAGTGGTGGATGTGGCTGAATGTAGATTAGTGGGTTTAGTGATACGAATATAAGGCACTTACCATTTCGTCACATCTATTTTCTCCAATAAGCAAGAGCCAAGGTCATCTCCTGGGATGGGCAGGCAAGAGGATACAGCCCAACTTAGGTTAGAGGGAGTGGTGGTGGTAAGGTTTGAGGAAAGAAGACAAAGTGTGATACAGTGTCTTGCAGAGTGAGAAAGCAGATTTACTGGAGAAGTCTATTATGATTGGCAGTGTTGATCATCTGTTTGAACTTAATCTTGAATCATAAAATCTAAAACTTTATTATACTTATTTGTTTATCAGTTGTCACGACTACTAGTTTGAGAGCAAGGAATAAGTATCTTATTCTTCCATTTATGCAACACAGCTTAGTTCCTGAAATAGTTGCCAGTTTAATAAATAGTTATTAAGCAAATTAATGTCCAGTATGTAATTAAATATGTTAATAAGGAGCACAGGAGTGAAATCTGGATGGGAGATAACATGTTTGAGAATCATCAACTTACTATGGAAACCATGTGTGTGGTTAAGAGACCAAAGAGAGTACAGAGTTTCGGGGAGTATACAAAGAGTCAAGAAGTCTAAAGATAAAACAGTGTGGAAGAGCATATTTTAATGGCAAGGAAGACTGAGAAGAACTAGCCAGAGAGTTAGGAGGAAGCCAAGGAAATAGTGTCAAGAATAGTCAAGAAGGTAATAGTCAGCAGTGTCAGAAGGCTCAGAGCAGTTAAATATGATGAGAATTGAGCGCTGCAATTAAAAGGTCTTAGTGAGTAAAAGCACTTGAGTGGAGTGCTGGGGTGGAAGCTAGACTGTGATAGGTTGATGAGTGTCAGTGTAGAATATGAGGCAGTGAACCCACACTTCCTCTTTCCTGATGCTTGACAGAAGAAAAAAACAAGCAAGATAGGATAATAAGTAGAGAAGTGATAAGTTCAGGGAAAGCAGACACCTTGTCTTTTTTCCTTCACTGTGTAATCTTAATACCTAGCCTGCTGTATACATAAAGAAGGCACTCAGTAAATATTTGTTGAATGAATGAAGAGGGATCGAAATAAGTATTTTTGTGTGTGTGTAAGGATTGGCAGGACATAAACAACTTCTCTCCTGAGGAGTAGAAGAAAGCCAATGGTGAGGGAAAGGCTGTAAATTTCTGGAGAGGAGATCATTGATACAACACGTTCCTGAGAAGAGTCATCAGTGGGAGTTTTATTGTCTAGCAGACAGGAACAGCTCCTTTTGTTCTTGCCCCACACAAGTCTGAGGCACTGGGGACTTTTCAGTGAGGCTGGAAGTCCTCGTTGAGCTGTAGGAACTGAAAGCCTGGGTGGTGTAAGAGCCCCTTATTAGTCCCTACTACTAGTCTACTAGTCTTCCCTAAAAGCGGTGCCCAGTTGCTTTTCCAAAGAGCATGCCATTTTCAGTAATATCAGATTATAATTCTTGGGGTTTTTTTTTATTATGTATTGTTTTCTTATGTATCACTGAGAATTTTTTTTAAACAGTAGCACTCCTGCCCCTTATTATAATGACAATACATTTTTCTCATTTTAGATTCGACTTCCACCTGAAGTAAACCGGATTTTGTATATAAGAAATTTGCCATACAAAATCACAGCTGAAGAAATGTATGATATATTTGGAAAATATGGACCTATTCGTCAAATCAGAGTGTGAGTCTTACTGAGATGTGAAATGTCAGAAAATGATTGCATAATCTGTAATCTCAGAATTATAGCTGGCAGTTGGGCCACCATGTGTGGCTTGACAGGCTGTGCAAGGCGGCAGCCCTAACTAAGAGCCAAGAGACAGATTGAAATAAGGGAGATGAGATTTTTTGTGTGTGTGGCAGAAAAATACCTACTGAGACCCTCGTGATCCTGCTCAATGAGAGCCAAAAACAGTAGTTGAGAAATTATAGACAGCGTGAAGTAGTGATGAATGGTTTGAGGGGAATGGATGGGAAGAGAAGGAACTAACATTTGTTGCATACCTACTATTTGTAAAGTCAAGTACTAGACTTTTTTTATATGTGTTAACTTGAATTTTCTCAACAATCTTAACTGTCTCCTTTACTGACTCCAGAATTTCTGGATAAACTGAGTAAAAGAGTATAATGGTAACTGGAAAAAATGACTTTTTTCAACTATAGCTTTCTATTGAAGATTTTAAAATATGGAGGAAATAATTACAGCAAGAATTCGTGTTTTAATTTAATCTAAAGATTGGGGTTCATACCTTCAAATGATATTTATTGAACATCTACTGAATGCCATTTGTTGTAATAGGTGCTTTTATTTGCATCACCAACATTACAGCCCTGTGTGGAGCTGATAGTGTGTCTGTTATACAGATGAGGCTACCAAAGCCCAGAGAATAAGAGTACCTTTCTAGCTTCACACAGCTGTTTAGTGATAAAATCTTCTGATTAGAAATTGAATCTCTACACTACACAGTACCATAGCTGCTGTCACTCTACCTAGTATAAATGGGCTGATTACCTAAAAGTCCATCTGAGGATGTCTAAGGTTTTTATTTTCAGTTAGAATATCTCTTTCTTAATAAATTTTCTTCTATGACCTAAGAGCTCCTTCTTGGCTTTTAGAACTCTGTGAGATCTTGAAGACTCTCCTTTTGAATGATCACTGTCCGTCCAGAAAGTAAACCAAGAGCTAGAAATAGATCATCATTGGTACTCAAATGGAGATGAAAAGGAAGTGGTATAGACCAGTTTTCCCTTTTAGGAAGTCTCAGTCCTTTGAGTATTTGATAAAAGCTTTGGACCTTTTCCACAGAAGAATACACACAACATTTGGTATATGATTACAGGGGATATATGGACTGTAGGTTAAGAAACCTTGTTCTAGACGTACAAGAAAGGTGTACAGAAGAGCCCCTGATTTGGAGATCAGGAGACAAGATTCTCCTTCAGGCCCTGTGGCTAGCCATGTGACCCTAGACACATTGCGTGGCTTTTTTGGTTTTCTGTCTGGATGGACAGTACCTGTCAGCTTATAACATGGAGGCAGCATGATAAATTTACTGGATTGGTTATAAGACCTAGCTTCAAATACTCACTGGGC